GCCGAGTCGATGGGATTTCCGCGACCAGTACATAGCACACGGGTCCGACCGTCATGTCGTATACAAATGTCAGAATCAAAAGCAAAGAACCAAGAGTCCAGAGCTGGCCGTGGGATGTTGGAAGAGTGCCGACAATGCCACCAACTAATAAAATAGTTAGTAGGGCTGAGAGGCCGCAAAGATACAGCCGACGACGTCCGAAACGTGATAAGAGCGACCAGGAAATCATAGCACCAACTATGGCTATTCCGTAGGTGCCTAGTGAGAGATTGAAGGCGTTGTCCACACTGAACCCTGCTTGCTCGTAGAATGTTGACGCCCAGCCCATCAAGCTAGTCCCGCAAATCTGTTGTGCGATCCACACCATACAGGCGATCTCAGTTCGTCGGCGATCAACTCCTTTGAAGGTGTCAAAGTATGACATGCCGCCACCATCTTCTTTTAAGTACTTTTCAATCTCATTAGTTTGCACCATCAGAGCCACTGTCTGGTCAATATTGATCTTGTGCTTCCTGGTTAGCCTTCTCAAAGACTTTTCGGCATCCTTTTGTTTCCTGTGGCGGATCAGCCACCATGGGGATTCCGGGGCGAATGCAACTGCGACCAGGATAGGTAGACAAACAGCCCACTGAAGTGCAAAAGGGACCCGATATGACCACTGGGATGCGTTGTCGACGAACTTTCTCAGTATTCCCGTAGCCAAAAACTGGCCAAGAACCCAACACAGGTTGACATTACTGAGTAGGTATGCGCGAAGCGTGATAGGCATCACTTCCGCAGCGTATGTGATTGCCAATGTCTGAAAAACGCCCCATGGAACACCACACAAAATTTGGGCCGCTAGCAACATCTGTATATCCACTGCAAAAAATGGCAACAAAATACTCAACATCAGGAATGTCAACGCGGACACCATGGTCCAGCGGTAGCCGATTCGATCAGCAAAATAGCCATTTGCAAGTAGCCCGACTATCTCGCCGGCCTCTGCTGCGGTTGACAAGGCGAATTGCCACGTCGAAGAAATTTGATACCCGGAGTCAGATGTTGGCGTTCCGTATCTTTGTTTGAATGCAGGGAAAGCGAAGAAGTTGAAAATTAGAAGGGTATCGAATCCTTCCATTATCAAGGTGGAAGACAATATGAATGACCAGGCTATAGCCTTAGGGTACAAGCGACACCCACGAAGGAAGGTCAATTCCTGTTCAGCCCGGGTGGCTGCTCTAGCGGGGAAATCGAGAGGTCGCAATCCCGGCAATGCCGTCGCGAACTGTGCGGTGAGGACGGCGGCATCAGTCAGACCGAGAGTCCCACTGTTGGGGCTACCTTGCTCTGTGTGCAAGTAGAATGGAGAAGAGGTTGTGCCGTCGAGGACCTCGTTTCTCTGAGTAATATTTGAAATGTTTTCCAAATTATTCGAAGGATACACCTCAGAAAAGGAAGCGGGGCCAATGACACCTGATATGTCATTTTCTTGGGATGTCGGCAGCATATTTTCCTTGGTATGACAAGGAAAGCTGTCGTTCCAGCCTTTTTTCATCTAAATACGAGTAGCTCAATTGACAGACCTACTTGACGCCGTTAAATATCATCCGAGTGACGACGCATTAATGTATGAAGAGGTGGCAATAGGCTTTATGCTGAGGACACCTCAGGTGAACGTGACGCCACCTGGGAAGGTTCTCGCCTTGCTAAAAAGTTGAAAACCTTGGACTATATAAGCCACAGCTCTGCCGACTCGTGGTTGTTCCGGACGCGGCTTACGTCGCGAAAGCCACTGGATGCACAGCCTTGGCGTCCCACAAGATGGGGCGGGGCAACCATGTCAGTGGAGCGCCGAGTTCCGACATGGTCTAGAAGTCGAAGCCAAACTTTATTACGCTAGCGTACCAAGGCGGGCGCTTTTAATTATTCAACTACAAGGTCTCAAACACTCTGTCTGATCCAGTTCTGGCCAAATCGTGTAACCTTGTCCTTGCGATGTCCCCCACACTACTAGGTCGTCGCCTCGCCCAGGACGGAACTAGCCTCTATTATCGGCACTTGAACCAGAAATTGCTCACTTCAATATATGGCTTCTCGTAGTTCTACAAGTAGCAGAATTATTACACTCAACGCTCCCAGGGTGCGATTGCTACCTGTTGCTCCTATCGATTAATCTTCTCTGGTAGTTCTAGTCGTTCTCAAAAGCCAAATAATTCTCGATTTTCCTGTGTCGACCATCTTACCAAGACAGACCTCGGAAACCTGAAGCCGGGCGGTTGGATTCGCGAGCTGCTAGACTGTGGCTAATTTCGAGCTCTAAGGTTTGCAAAAACCACAACAGTTTCCATGAAAAGAAACACCCATAGAGGTGTTCAAAAAAAGAAGTACAATAGCATCGGTGACTTAGGAGAGCAATTTAACTGATATAGGATTCGTGGGGTCAGTTTGTACGGAGAGCACTCAATTGATGCCTTTATACGCGCCAATTTAAAGGCATTAGTCTTGCAAAGCCTCCAACGAATGAATACCCAGGATAGTATGCACTTTGTACGGGCTTTCAATATCAGTAAGTTCTCTTCCTTAACGCTGGCCTTGATTTAATGTGCGATGAAGAGACATGTTCCTGGCCTCCCGCCTACACTGCTATCGTTCTCCATAAATATACACTCTGTAAGAAAATACAATAACAAACCATGCGCGACGGAGGATCTTAGAGCTTACCACGGTGGTCTCATTTAAAAGTCCTCAGCCACCACCTAGGCTTTTTCTCAACAATTTCCAATATTTCCGATGCTGCCATGTTATAGATGAAAGATATTGAAAGTATATTAAATCTGAAATAAGCACCTTGCTTTGCTCCAAATAGAATGAATAGAACAGCTGTACAGCATAACAATGAACTATCTAGATGAGTCACCATTCATCCGCCCGGAGGCAAACTTGAACAGAATTATGCGATCCTATCTCTTGAGAAAAAGAATCAGGCCGAGTCTATGGCACCACAGTCCGATTTTGATGCTCAAGGGTGGAACCCACAAGCCTCAGTTCCCAACATCAGGCCGTTTTTAAGGTCGAATTTCAGTTTCTACCTATATAATTACTTGACAAATTGAGCTGAAGTCATTTCAGACCAAGTAAAGTACAGGTTTCATTACACTACCAGTCACTAATGTCCACCTTCAGAATTTGGGAAGCTGAGTGAGAACATTCTGCTTTGAAAGCGACTAGAAGAGCCCATCATAGAACAAGGCTTTTTATATCATGATGATCGCCAATTCAACCTCATAAAATCTACCAGATGTCAATTCCATGTATAAGAGGCTGTGGGCAATAGCCCACGGTAAGCCCGGACGGAGAACTGCATTGGGCAATGCCAAGTTTCATGTCTTTGCTCCATTTGAGTTGGTGCTAGAAACTTGCTGAAGCTCATATATTAGTTCAGTTCGATTGCTAACGGGACTATGCTCCCTTCCGTCGCCCAGTCGCGACCTTCCTTGCCTTCCACTACCTAGAATAATTGATGATATCCCTGAGAGTAACTTGTATGCAGATATACAGGATGGACAAAGTCCGCCCTGAGGACACAGTGTCCTTGATCACCCTAGGCGATCACTGATCATGTTTGTGCAAAATGCCCTTTTACACTGGCCCACCTTGCTCCTGGGAGCGCCTTATGTATGGGGGTCTGCTCCTGGGAAGCATATGTGTAATGCTTCTCATTGGTCGCACGTGACTCCTGCGGGTGTCGTCTTTCTTGCGGGTTTGGTTGGCTGACGTTGTCCCCCCGCGGGTTTCTGACGGTTTGCCTGGTAACACAAGCCTTCGCGTCTTCTACTCCCTACTTGTGGAGAAATGTGCATAAGCCGTGCGAACCCTTTACCCCACATTAGAAGAACCAATGTCTACAGTGCCTGCATGGAGTGTCGAAAGAAAAGAGTCAAGGTTCGGAAGCATTCACGTTCGTGTGGAAAAGAAACTAAAAAAGTGGCAGTGTTCCCGTGCAATTCCCTGTGCACGGTGCACAGTAACAGGATGCGCATGTATTGTTGACCCAGCACGGATCGCAGACGCCGTGGCCATTTCCTTGAGTTGTATAAATCTAATCAAGTACTTTGTATCATGATTAACCAACTCCGATGTGGAAATTCGGATGTGCTCAAATCGTTGATTCTGGCAATTCGCAGGTTTAGAACGGACCAGGATGCGATGACCTATAGAGTGCAAAGAAACGGATTCTCTGATGATTGAGCTAGGGTGTGATATTTGCTTTCGTTTTATTTGAACTCAATGTTGTTTCGAGAGTGCATGGCCCAGACCTGTTGGGTGATGTATCAGATCGCAGCTCAAAGATATCAACTAAACTGAAGATACTGTAATCCGCTCGGCCACCAACTCTGCTTAAAAGAGGAATAAAGGATCTTTTTTTCATCGTGTTCGTTTGACGCTACGGCATTACCAAAAAGGTGGATGCCAAGAGCTTTTGCGAAACCTGCAGTTGGAATATATTTTAATATCTGAGGCGTCAACGCTATTGTATACTTCGTTAGGAATTTCTACGCGTAGCATAGTTCTCCGTTACCTAACCCGTCTTCATTTCATAGTGCGAACAACCTCATCTAGAGGTTTTGGCATGCGAGTATCAGTACAGCCAGTATCTCAGTAGACGCTCGATTATTGTAAGATCAGGAAACGGTTGAAGCTAATGCTGTGGATGGCAATTTGAAAATTCGAAGGCTCTTACTTGAAGGAGTCTAGTAACGGTGGAGGAATTCTCAGCCTGTAGTCATAGGCCTGAGCGCTATTTACTAAAGCGACAGAGAGCTTCCAAATTTCATTCCACGTAGTAAGCTGAACATAGCATTTTAAGCAGAATTTAATAGCATATTGCAGCCAAGAGTGCTGCCGAGCTGATTTTGTTTCATGTTACCAGTGACCAACAACAAGACGAAATTGTAAGATAACTCAGCCATCGATCGGGACTCCACCATTTAATCCAGGCCTGATGAGGACGGATGGTGTCAGTTCTCTCCGATGGAAACCGGAACATCCCCTACAGTGCCGAATTCTTTCCATTTTCCAATATCGACTCGGTATTTCGGGTTGTGGTTACGGATCAGAATTGAATTCTGTTCTCCAGGCTGCGTAGTTGCACGCCAAGTGAGAGTGCAAATTCTCGTATCCCTCACATCGTCAACAAGGTCTATTGCACCAGAGGGCCCTAACATGGAACCCGGTTCGCTTATGGAGCAAATCTCCCGACAGCCACCGTTATGGCGAATGCTCATATCATTAATGTCGTCGGTGGTTAGGACATCATTTGGGTTACCGAGTCTGTAGAACTCCCCGCTAAGTCAACGTTAGGAATTGCATAAAATCATGACTCAAATCGGTTTGTGAAAGAGGCACCTTTCCATTTGAGCATTTTCAAGGCGGATATCATACTTCATATCATCTTGAATGATAATGTCGAGATGTTGGTGGGCATCCATGTCGAGGTTTGACTAAAATGGTAACACTTAGCAGGTGAACAAGGCAGTCAAGATTAATCAATACGTGTGGTGGGGTGGCTTTGCATACTGTTAACAGAGTATTAGTAGAGGAGTAATACTTTCTTATACCAAAATTATTTTTACGAGGAAAATGCTCTTCGAGTAAATATCATAATGACGTAGGCTATTTCTTCCTTCACCTAAGGTGGCGTTCATTGAATAATTAGAATTGTATCCGTAGTCCTGATCTAGGCGGTACTAAAAGTCAGTTGACATCTCAAAGTGCAGACTTCTATGCTGGTCATGAGATAAGGTCATGAAAGTTCGTAAGTATAATTCAATAGTTTTTAGTCAAGGCTGTCATCCAATATTTCTTACAAAACTAGTAATTTAGGCCAAATCCATCTTGTCGTAGCACCAGGATTGGTGGGTACTCGGAGAAAGGAGATACTATAGACCCGCTAGGATTAGTCATGTATTTAGACCATCCAAATTGCCAGCTAGGGGCTTGGGAGCAATTCAAACTCTATGACTTCTATTGGTACACCTATACGGATGACTCATCTCTGTTCCCAACACATATTAGTGTTTAGTGTATCACGTGGTCAGGATGTCAAGGAATATGGCTGGAACAGCTGGATTCGTGGGTGTTCGGCGAAAGGAGATACTGTTGTACTTCGTACATCCAGCAGGATTAGTCATATAATACGGCCCACTCAATTGACAATCAGGGCCATGGTAGTTGATATCCTGTTGGTGTACTAATTCGACCAATAGTCAGTCGCCATGCCGTAGGACATGTCCCGATAAAGGGCTGTTTGGGGATGGTTGGTGATTAGCACGCGTCGGACCTAAAATTACGTGTGATTTCAGGGAAGGGCCGAAGCGGCGCATTTTTGCTTATCCCTGAATGTGGGTGTATATAGCAGCCTAAATATATTCTCGCTATCCCCCCCCTAAGTACCCTAAATCTTGGTATTTTCCGATCGGGTCTTCAAGATCTTTTAATAAAGCGGTCTGATCTATCTTTCTGCTAAATTAGATTTTAAGATTTCTATCTAGAAGGGGCTAACCATAGGGGAAGTAGTTTATATGGGGGATTTTTTTGATGGGGGATGCTAAGGCCAGGTCCCGCGGGTAGGCTATACCCTTTACGGCGACCCTTCTAAGCACACCTTAGTAGCCTTAGTAATCTGGCACTCTAGGGTTTCTAGGGCCTATAGTAAGATAGCTATCAACATATGGATGTTGTGGGGTCACATGACGAAGGACCCACTCATATAACCCCTCTCTCATCTAGATCTTCTCTAAAAAGATCTATCAGATTGATCCTCAACGATCTTGCATTGAATTGCATACTCGCATTGAATTGCCTACCTAGGCAGGAGACTATCTAACACTCCAATACTCTTTGCTTTCTCATGTGATCTTTTACCATGTTTCTAAGATATAAATACTGCTATGTTTCCTAACTAAATTGAATCAAGTTTATCATCCTTTGTGATCTCTCTTCTAGATCGGTGGTACTCTTCCACAATCGTGGTACTTCTCCTTCATAGAAGTGCGCACGACCGATAGACTTATAACCGTGTATTCAGACACTACATTGAGTATTTACCAATCCTTATGCACACTATCGTCTTGTGTGTATAACCACGACTTTATGGTCACCGCCTAAAGTCCGACAATTCTATAAAGGCCCTACTTATACGAGTTAGTTATTAAAAGAATTAGTGCATTATCTAGAATTTTGGGGATACGCTACTATTTATTTACTAAATAAATTCTATAAAGGCCCTATATATAGTCCACGTTGAACACCAGCGGTGTTCACAAACTCTACTAACAAAGCAATCCCGGCGCTAAACTAGGATAGTATTAGTACCCGCTGGTATTCAGGGGCAACTCCGCTGGTATTCATACCTTTGAAATAGCAACTAAGGTACACAATATTGATTTTCTTAAACGCCTCTTTCTTTATTAATTCCGGCAAGATATTAAGCATCATTTCTGTAAGTCAAAGCCGGAAGTTATGAGAAAGGGTAGTAGTATCAATCTTGTCAGTATTAATCTCCTACATACCACCGACAGATTGCCGACTGTGTTAAGGTACCCTTATAGCTAATCCCTATAGTAACCATAAGTAATAGATAGCCTATAGTAATTCAAAAACCTTAGCATTAGGAAAGTAAAGTATTAAGCTAAATAGAAACTAGATTTCTACTAGAGATAATAACGAAAGGCTATATATCGAGACGTATTCTTGCTAGCTAATTCGATGATCCTACCGCTTCAACGATAAATAACATAAAAGAGATAAATTCCCGTGATCTAAGCGTAATTCAATATCAGACACTTTACCTAATTATAGCGTGCTCGGAAACAATCAAAATCATTACCTAAAGATTATTAAAAACATAAAAATGAATTAACAACGCTCGTTAAGAATTAGCTAGTAAGTCTGTGAGTAGGCTATGAAATGATTAGCGTATAGGAAGCTTATAGGTATACTTAACCTTCGTGTATAGCTATATGATATAGCTATATAGGATAGTATAGGTAGGTAGGTGAAATGGATAGTTGCCTAAATAGGCAAGTGAAGTGGTACACAGATTAAAAGAATAAATTAAGACTTAGGATTTAAAACTGTTTAATAGGAATTCACGGTCCTTTTTATAATTTAAAAAACGGGATAGTCTGGCAGATTTATCTGATTCTACTAGATTCTATATGACCTAGTTTAATCATATGATATCTAGTCTTGAGATCTTCTAGAAGTATATTAGGAGTTCTGTTTAGACCGGTCCTTATAGGGTAATCTCTATCTATATTAATACTCCCCTGTAATCTATATATAGTTAGATATATAGATTAGTAGGTAGTAGATAGATAGATTAGCTTTTCTTAGTAGGAGTATCAATCTCTACTAGATTAGCTAGTTTCATGAATTCTTTAAATAGGACTTTATTAACATTTTTTGTTAATAGATCAGCCAGTTGATGTTTTGTATTTATATAGGTTAATTTAACCTTAGCTTCTTGAATAGCTTCTCGTATATAGTGATATTGGATATCAATATGTGTCGGACTCTAGGCGGTGACCATAAAGTCGTGATTATACACACAAGACGATAGTGTGCATAAGGATTGGTAAATACTTAATGTGGTATCTGAATACACGGTTATGAGTCTATCGGTCGTGCGTACTAGCAGAAGTACCACGATTGTGGAAGAGTACCACCGATCTAGAAGAGAGATCAAAAGGAATGATAAACTTGATTCAATTTAACTAGGTAACATAGTAGTATTTATATCACAAGAAACATAGCAAAAGGTCACATAATAAATCAATAGAATCAGAGTATTGAGAGTCTCTTGCTTAGGTAGGCAATTATATACGAGATCGTTGAGGATTAATCTGTTAGATCTTTATAGAAGAAGATCTATATATAGAGAGGGGTTATATGAGTGGGGTCCTTCGTCATATGACCCCACAATATCTATATATTGACACACCCCCTTAGTTCTCGATGTGAGAGCAGAATGAGAGCAAGGTGAGAACTGAATAAGAGAAAAGAGAAATAGAATAACTAGATAGGAGGTAGTATCTCTATCCCTAGTTATCTGATAAATTCAGTGTGCTTCTGCCTAGGTAGGCACTTAGTGAGACCGTCTACGGGTATATCGGTGGTCTTTACCTATTAGATAGATAGGCGCTTTACCTGCACCTCTTGACGAATCTATAGGCGGTTAATATCCACGTAACGAAGTTTGGTCTGAAAGACTAATTTCTCGCGATTTAATAGGTTAACGGTTTACTTATTATCGTAATTTAATACCTCTAGTTAATTAGTGTCGAATTCGATGAATGAGAAGAGGCGTTTAACCTAGTATAGCTGCTTAGCTACGTGTGAGATAGCTAGCAATTCAGCTTCTGTGGTAGATGTGGTTATCGTCTTCTGCCTACGAGATTTCCACTCGATTGGACCACTAAATAATGAGAAGATGAAACCTTCTAATGACTTCCTATCAAGATGATCGGTAAAGCTTGCATTAGACGAAGTAGTGAAGATCAAGCAATCTGATTAGCTGCCACTAAAGTAGATAGCTAGGTCTTTCGTCCCGTATAGGTAGGAAATCAGGTAGTCAACAGCAGCTAGGTGCTTCTCATCGCAGCGTGTGAGAGATTTAGCTAGTAGCTGATTAGCAAAAGCGGTGTCTGGTCTGGTCTATATAGCAGGGAAAAGGGTCGAACCACACTTCTGCTGGTATAGTTTAACGGTTGATTAGTTAATTTGACTAGTGATCGGATTAAGACGTTGATTGCTGACTAGTGGTGTATTAGGCGGTTTCCTGCCTAGGAGGTTGAATTTAGTAGCGATCTTTTCAATGTAAGCTAATTAGTTTAGCCAGGTCTTTCGCTGTTGTCGGTTTCTGATGATTCGAATACCGATAAATTGTGTAATTTCGCCACAGTCCTTCATCTCAAAGCGTTGTGAGAGAAGTTGCTTTATTTGGTGAGCGTGTAAGCTCTCACTTCGGTGGTAGGTAGCTAGGAAGTCGTTAACAAACACCATAATAACCATGCGATTATCGGTGTAAAGTGCAGGATCTTCAGGATAAGATTTGAAGCCTAGAGAGAGAAGTATCTCTTTCACGTCGTCTTCCCATCGTTTACCAGCGATTCGAAGACCATATACTACCTTATATAGGCGAAGGACCTTAGTTTTTCGTCCTAAACCTGGTGGGTACTGGCAGTACACTTCTTCTTTGAGATCGCTATTTAGGAAAGCGTTAACAGTATCTATCTGAAAGGTCTCGAGGTCAAAATGCGTGATGATCGCTATGAGCGTGCGAAAGGTCCTAGTAGCAAGCGTGCTAGTGCGTGGATCCTGGTCGTCAGGTTTCTGTGTGTCTCCGTGTACGCATAGACGCGCTTTGAAGCGTGTGAGGTATCCTGATTCGTTAGATTTAGGATTATGCTTCTTGATCGAAGAATTC